TCCAAGGAGAGCCCTGGTCTGATCTGTTCTAGAATCCATTTGTTTGTCCTCTTGGTTGTCCATGGTATCCTATACTCTCCTATTCTCCAGCACCACATTTCCGATGAGTTGATTTGCTTTCTGTCTGCTTCCTTCACTGTCCACATCTCGCATCCATACATGGTAATTGGGAATACAGTGGCCTGAACTATTATTTAGTGCTCAGTTGTATGTCTTTGCTCTTCAGTATCTTTTCCAGTTCTTTCATAGCTGCTCTTCCCATTCCTAGTCTTCTTTTAAATTCTTGACTTCAGTCTCCATTCTGGTCAATGCTTGATCCTAGATATGGGAATTCTTTAACTATGTCAATTTCCTCATTGTCTAGATTGAATTTGTGTATTTCTTCTGTGGTCATTATTTTTGTTTTCTTTATGTTTAGCATCAGACCTGTCTTTGCACTTTCATCTTTGCCCTTCTTTATTAACGGTTCCAATTCCTGAACGTTTTCTGCTAATATTATGGTGTTAATCTGCATATCTTAGGTTAATGTTGCTTCCTCCTGTCTTAACTCCTCCTTTTTCTGATTCTAATTCTGCTTTCCTTATGATGTTTTCAGAATATAAGTTAAACAAATAGGGTGATAGGATGCAGCCTTGCCTGACTCCTTTGCCTATTGGGAACCACTCTGTTTCCCCAAATTCTGTTCCGGTGGTGGCCTCTTGTGTGACTCTGCCCAGGAGAGATTCAAACCCTTGTCCTCCAGAGTCCTATCTAGTCCAGCGTTCAAACCACTCTCCCCACGGTGGCTGTTTATGAGGGGTCACAGTCACCAGGATTCAGGCTGTTCCAGGTGAAATCCTAAGCGGGGTGACACACCAGTGTTCCCCAAACATCTGTCTTTGGGCAGAAACAGTCTGCGGCATTTGCCTACATCCCTTTAAAATGCTGAAGAGATGGTGTGAGTGGGACCAGGCTCAATGGGAGAAGAAAGGAGAGGGTTTTTTAAAAAAGAAAATATTAAAAAATGAAATATTAATTAACATAGTAAAATAATAATCAATAGAATAAAAGCTTTTCTGGGGTCATGTCCTCCATTGTGCAGTGCCTTGTCCTCCTTTGAGGTTATGACATCTGGTCCCCCTGATTCCTCAAGCTGAAGGCCCAGATGCCCTTCCTTTGCCAGGACACATCCTACATTTCAGCTTTTTGTCCAGGAAGAATTACCAAAATGTCTTCCATAAGAAGCACAGATTTACATTTCTAGGAATGTTTTTAGCATTTCTGGGGTCCTGTCCTCCTTTTTCCCCAAGAACGCTCTCCATTTTGCAGTGCCTTGTCTTCTTTTGAGTTTAGGACATCTGGTCACTTTGGTTGGAAACGACTTGAAGGCATTCCAGGACAACAACGACAACCATCACCTCGCACAAGGGAAAGTCACTGGGTGAACCTGGGAAAGTCACACTCTCTCAGCTTCAGAGGATGAGCATGGCAAACCCCTTCCTCTGAAGAAACTTACAGAGAAAATCCTGCCCTAAAGAGCCAGTGTTGGATTTGAGCGTTGGACTAGTGGTTTGAGCGTTGGACTAGGACTCTGGAGACTGGGTGACCTTGGGCTTGGGATATAAATTGTAATTTTCATATATCACTGAATGTTACAGTAACACTTATGACATAAAACAACTGGCACAATTAAAATGATACTTTC